GTTGTTTTACCAGACAACACGGAATTTCAAATTTGACACGTCGTCATGAAAATAACCTATGGATATTTTTGGAGAACTTAGACTTTTTAATTCTCTACATTTTCTCATGAAAATAACATGTGTACATTTCTAGACAACTGGGACTTTTGAATTTATTTCTCTCCATTTTCTCATGAAAATAACGTGTGTACATTTCTGGACAACTGGGACTTTTGAATTTATTTCTCTCCATTTTCTCATGAAAATAACGTGTGTACATTTCTGGACAACTGAGACTTTAATTCTCTCCATTTTCCATGAAAATAACATGTGTACATTTATGGACAACTGAGACTTTAATTCTTTCCATTTTCCCATGAAAATAACATATGTACATTTCTGGACAACTAAGACGTTTGAATTTAATTCTCTTCATTTTCTCATGAAAATAACATGTGCACATTTCTGGACAACAGAGACTCTAATTCTCTCCATTTTCACATAAGAATAACATGTGTACGTTTCTGGACAACTGAGACTTTTGAATTCATTTCTCTCCATTTTCTCAGGATGATTTTTTTGTCCTAGTATCCAGAAGCCATGAGTTGTTAAGCCTTGGGCTCGGTACTATGGATATCGCAACCCCTCGGCCTTGATTCCATGATAGATACAGTAAATCTGGGAGAAATGTGGCTTTTCTGCCTACCCCCGGGCCTGAACCCGGACCACAAGGAGTTCGTCACCCGGTCACCGCTTAGTCCGGTTTAGCCAACTACGCTAGCGAACTGGGCCTCTGGATGATTAAAATTGAAAAGATTACTTTTTTTGCAGTTTTTATATTCCTTATTGTAATATAGCGCCTCAGTCAGCAAACGATAAGAAGTGCGACCTGCTACCATAGCCACATATTCTGGCTACAAGCACGTCTGTAATGAATCAGTCGTACCCCGTGTGGGATTCAATTTTTCCATTTTTTTTAAAGCCCCACCCTGGCTTTTGTCAGGGGCCCTGAAAATAGCCGGGCCATGAATGTGGCCATAATGGATGAAAGGGGTTTCTGGGACCTCTCCACGGGTGATCCTTATCAGCATGGTGGCACTTTGTGTCACCGGGTGTTTATCACTTGTGTGATGTCCTGGTGGGGTACAACAAACAAGCAAGCAAGCAACATCTGTAATGAAGATAAAAATGGGGAACTGACAGAGATATTGAAATATGAAAACGAAAGGCAAGAGAAGCTTTTATAGCATTAGGAAATTTATATAGGTCAAAAGAAATTAAAACTAATATAAACTTCAAATGTTTAATTCTACTGTCAAATTAGTACATTTGTATAAGCGGAAACATGGAAAACAACTAAGGCAATTACAAATAAGCTACAAACATTAATTAACTAATGCGTGTGCAGAATAGAGGGAATTAAATGATATGATAGAATCACAAATGTAAAGCTTTGGGAGAGAACAAAACAAGGATCAAGAGGTAAAGAAAAAACGCTGGCGTTGGATAGGACACTTGTTGAGAAAACCTGAGAACAATTTAACTAGAATGTCTTTGCTCTGGAACCCACATGGGCGTAGAAATAAAGAAATTAAAAAAACGCACACATGGAGAAGGGAGCTAGAGAGCATTTTAAAATACGGGGAGTACATGGGGGAAGCTGCATACAATCTCGAAGGATAGAACGAGTTGGCGGGAGTTGGTTGAGGGCCTATGCTCCATTGGGGGGCTAGAAAGGCAGAAACAGAAGAAAACGTTTTGTTTGTTATTTCGTGTGTGTGTGTGTGTGCGTGCGTGCGTGCGTGCGTGTGTGTGTGTGTGTGTGTGTGTGTGTTTTAACCTACCCAAATAGGACTACAGGTCACTATGTATGCTGAGAGAGGTGGAGACATGCAGCCTCCGTGCAGAAGGCAGTTGTAACTGCAAAAGTACAGGGTGGATTGCGTTCTTCAGATATTGTCTGCTGAAAGAAAAGTGTGTCGGGAAACGAGCAGCCAGAAACATTGGCTGGTTTTGCATAAATCATCATTATCATCATCATCATCATCATTATCATCATCATCATCATCATCATCAACATCATCATTGTCATTATCATAATCATTATCATCATCATCATAAACCACTTCTGCCGTTAATTGACGTGTGGAGAAATACGTTGCGATCCGGTGCACGATAGCCGCCATTGGCTATTGTCATGCCGTGAAGGCGTAGAGTGTCTTTAATTTTGTCTATCCATGTTTCGCGGCAGTCCTCTTGCTCTTGTAGCTAATCTTTTGAGATGTATTGTCTTGGGTGATTTTTGATCTTGCTGAATTCTTACGGGATAGCGAGACCCCTTAAACTGACGTGACTCAATGAATCTAGTACAAGGTGTCGTTCCCACAATTTGTCTGATAGTTTCATTATTCACTCGATCTCAGATGGTTAGGTTGGCTGCTTTTCTCAGGCATCTCATCTCGCAGGTGGTGATTTTGCGCACATAGGCTTTAGATAGTGTCCATGTTTGGCACCGGTATCTTACTGTTGGAATGAATATACTGTTAATAATCTGTCTGTACATATAGGTATGTTTAGACGTCTTAATAATGATGACAGTTCATATATAAGTACACTTGCTTTCTGACATCTGGTTTCCATGTCCATTGTCAATTCTACCACATTTCTTGATCTTACTTTCTAGATATTTAAATTTCCCAACTTGATTTAGACCAGAACCATTTAGCTGTATGTGTAGAGGGCCAAGGGTTCTACTAACTTGCATTGTTTCAGTTTTGTTTGCATTGATCTTTATGTAGTATTTGCGGCATGCTGAGTTTAACATGTTAATAGGGTCTCGCAGTCTATATTCGTTAGGATAGAACAAGCACTGGTAGTCAGCAAATAGTATTTTTTTTTCAAATGTTGTGAGTCAATTACTTCGTCTGATATGTGTACTTCCTTGCGATTATAATGATCTATGTCGTCTATTTTAGAACGTGCTTATTTAGGTATTCTGTCTGTATAAATGTTGAATAAAAGTGGGGGGAGCACACATCCCTGTCTCACAACTGTGGTAAATGTAAACATATATGATATGCCTTCTTATGTTCTTACTGCACTTTGGCTTGTGTAGTACAAGACTATGATGTTCTCTAGTAACTGTTCTTGAACCCCGTAGTTCTCAAGAACAGACCATAGTTGGTTTCTATCTATTCTATCGAAAACTTTTTTCCGGATCTACAAACACAAAATTATATTGGGTATTATACTCAATGGCTTTCTCACACACTTGCTTCAATGTAAATAATGCATCTGTGCATCCTCTGCCTTTTCCGAATTGTAATGCACTCAACTGTTGTTCAGCTATGAGTCTAACTCTCTGTTCTGGGTGGTGAATTTATGCATGAGGAGCTAGTTGGATGAATTCCCTTTGGGAGCAAGCGAACAATGCAGAGGCACGAATCGATCATTAGGGTATGGAGAGAATGGTGCAGCTAGAGGGACCAGGGACTTTGGTTGACACTAAACTCATAGTAACGGCGTTCATTCATTGTCCTGCTGTGCCATTATAAGTCATACAGAGCTTGCAGTCGATTCCTACATTCCTTCCTATTATATAGAATCATTTCAATATAATGGATGGTATCTCCTCCAAAAGCTTTAGCCTCTCCCATCAGTGTTCTTTTTAGTGTTTCTTTTGGGCGTTTTCGCTTTCGTGGTTTTTTTATTTCTCATTTTAGTGCCTGTTTGGCGATTCTTTGCTCCTTTCTTCTCAGAATATGTCTAAAATAGTGCCCTCTTCTTAGTCTTAATAGTGGTTGTTACCAGTGGTTGCACAGACATTTCTCTGATTTTCACAAGCACTTTAAACTTATGTTTGCTTTCTTTAGTTTGTCCACTCTGTTCTACTTCCTGGACGTCTTATTACCCTGAACAGTCAGATCTCATCCTGGATAACAAGTAAATAGAGCAGATCTTAAATATCCCTCCAAGAGTAATTCCTTTGATCTTTGGGTAGTAAGATCAGACCCCCGTCTGTATTGTTGCGCACGTAAAAAATCCCATGGCAGTTGGAAATCGAAAAAAGTAGCCTGACGGCGCTACCTGGGCACAATTGTTTGAGTTAAAACTCTATCAAAAGTATTTCAGGATCCTCGCCGGTGCTACAGAGCCTGTGCACTGTGCTGAGCTTCTTCGGACTAGAAAAAGAACGGAGCACTGATGGGTTACTACCCGTGTGCCATGACGTTGATCCGTTGTTCAAACCTCAAATTGCGCGGAAGCAGTCATATTTTATCTCGGGCGGTTCTTTCGTAATAAGTCACAACAGATGACGTCAAGGGGGACAGTCCAATATTTTATATGGAGGTAAGACCAGGTTTTCCGGCTCTGTGGTACTTTTAACGACTCCAAAACAACTAGAACTGGACCTAACTCCAACCCACCTTCGTCCCACGAGAAAGTGCAGCCTAGGTCCCACGACTGCATGCAACCTATCTACAACCCCCTGAAATATTAGACTGTCTGTTTGAGGTGAGTAAAAACAAAAGCACCGCATAGGCTGCCATGTGTCGCCGGTTTATAGTCGCGGCCATCTCTAAATATCTGTAACTGAGTTAACTGATCTTTGCAAGTGGTTGAAATGTAGCCGTCCATCTGTCTGATCACTTGAAACGTCAAGAAAGTTTTGAGAGAACAAAAATGGAGGAGTAATAGGCAGATTGTCGGCTCTGTGGCTAAGTCGATGCGAACGCTTCGTAATGCAGGGGAGCCGGGTTCGATCCCAGCTCGATATATTAATTAAGGTGTGAGAACGGGACTTTTGAAACGCACTGTATAACAATCACTAGAATCACATGTTCAGATTTTAAAAAATATCAGTATTTTTCTCTTATTTGTCCATGATATTCTGATAATCTTTTTGTAGCCTTTCTGCCCACAAGCACCCATTTTTTTTTAAGGGTGCTAATTACTTCTGTTTAAATTGCTTGTGTTTTTTGTTTAGCTAAAATTCCTTCTTATGTAACTGGTCCCTGCAGATGAATACCTTAACCTGAACGCCACATCTGGAGAACTACTGCAGCAAAAGTCCTACGATCGTGAAACGAAAGAGCTACACAAGCTGAAGTTGCTGTGTATAGTGAAGGTTGAAGGTCAGCCTGACGTCATCACGCCTCGAACCCTGAAGCTTCAAGTCGTGGATGTTAACGACAACCCACCCTTCACCAACATGGCCCATCCGACCCAGGTGTCCAATTACACAGCTGGCACAGTGAGTACTTGTGTCTGCGTATGTGTGGTTGTGTGTGTATGAGTGTGTGCATATATGGGTGTGGATAGGTGTTAAAGGTGTGTAAGGTATGTGTAGGTGTATTCCAGAGTGGGTATATGTGTAAGCGTGGGTGTTACTTTATATATCATTGTGTGTGTGTGTGTATGTTTGTGTGTTGTATGTTGTTTCTCGTCGCTGTTTTGTTGACGAAGGCTTTTCGCCGCAACATCCTTTCATTGCCTGTTGTAACTGGACATGTAAAGCTAACATTTTTTTCCCCGTGTAGGTTGTCGGGCTCCATTTCAAGGGCGAAAAAAAAAAAGACTTCAGCACCCTTAACTTCTTCTTCTTCCGTTTACCGGCTGTGAACTGCGGCGGAAAGTTTCGGTTGTTCGTCCACTTCTGGACTGCAGTCCTGTTTCAGAACCTGAGTGTTGCGTGTGCATCCGTTTGACAGATCTAAACTCATTTGTGTGCAGAATGCTGGTTCCTTTTCTCTCAGGCAGATACACACCGACTTTGAAAAAGGCTCACAATTAGTCGACTCTTACGACATGCTTTTGGGTAGGCAGTGGGTCTATTCTTGTTTTTCCTAGAATAGGGTCCCGGAACCCACATGGGAAGGCACGCTTAACAAGCATGTAGCTAGAGACGACTAAGCAGGGAGGCGAAGAACCAGCAGTCTGCATAAAAGTAAACTAGGTCTGAAAAGCAGACCGTCAAAGACCTGTCTACAGCCGTCAAGGAAAATAGCTCGTTGGCAGCTCCATGACAGAAAAGTCTATCCTGAAACACAACTAACCTAACACCGTCAGATCTTACACATCGGCCTTCAATTTAATTTACAACAAGCAGTCGCTAGTCTACCTCAGAGGTGGCTCTTGAACCCCACCCCAGCCGGTCGGAGGGCTTTACAATCGCCACTCACGCAATGGCCTTCCAGGATATTCTCCAGGCATTAACCGGGTCCAAACCAGCAGCCTTCGATCTAAGCTCTTTCCTTCGCTTCTGCACCGTAGACTGGGACTGCTGTGCTACTACACGGCTTTGGGTACTGTGAGTAGACAGACCATGTTACTTAAGAATAAAACTTTTTTAAAGGCCTAACCAGATAACCTTTTTTTTTTTTGAGAACTACCTCGCAAACACACAGCTAAATAGTGTGTTCTTCTATCTTTCTACTTCTTTCTATGAGTGCCGTTCACAATACTTTCTGTTACTTGATCAAAGCTAAATAGTAAAGATGGTAAAGGTCCCCTTTCCGCGCCTTTAGGGGTATAGAGCTTATAGGGCTAGACCTATATTTTAAAGACCAATCGGCACAAGATGGGTGATGTGGTCAGCATCACGCCGGCCGCCTTTACTTCCCGGGACTGCACCCGGTACCCACTCAAGGCTGGGTCGACCTTGGAGTCAAGGTCGTTTTTGAAAAAAAAAATCCGTCTCTGCCAGGGAGCGAACCCACGACCTTTCCATCCGCACGCAAGCGACACAGCTAAATACCTGGATTAATACCAATAGATATTCATGCAAAACTCAATTTCAGATACAAGGTCAAATACCAGAAGTGGACGAAGAAGCAGAACTTTACGCCGGAGTTTACAGGTGGTGAACGATGAGATTATGGGTTTCCAAACTTTCATACTTTTTACAGTAAAGATCCTTTTCACGCCTTTAAGCGCATCGCACCTATGGGAAGAGCACCCCATATTTTTACAGACCAATTGGCACTAGGTGGGTAATGTGGTCAGCATTACGCCGGCCATCTATACTTTCCTAAGACATACATCCTGGTACCCATTTTAGGCTGGGTCGACCTGCAATAAAAATCCACGCAGCCAGCAGTGGGTTTCGATTGCGGAACGTTGGAATTGCGAGTCGGAATCGCAACGCCTAAGCCACGGTCGCCACCTTTGCTACTTTTTAGAGAGATATAAATAGTTTTATGATGTTTGTGTGAGTCGCAAACCAACCTAACATTGGTAGGAGATTCATGTTCTAGAAACTAAAACTGACCGGGGTAGTGTCGAGTTCACCACCCACAGGGCCACGGTTACAAAGAATGGTAAATTATAGGAACCTTTCCACGCTTTCCGGCGTATTGGGCATACAGGTCTAGACCTATATTTTATAGACCAATCGTAGGTGATGTGGTCAGTAGTTGTGGTTTACAGCTAGGCTGCGATGTCTGGTACTTTCGACCCAACACATCAAATTTCAACAAACTTCTAATTTGTTGATTTTTACGACATGCTTTTCTGTGAGGGGGGGTGAGGGAGGGGCGGGGCGGGGCGGGGGGAGGGTCGGGGCGGGGGGAGGGGCGGTGGTGTGCAGCAAATTCTTTTTTTCCCCCTCTCATCTAAGTTAAGCACGAGAACACGTACATGATCTCCTAGATTCAAGCGACTGTCCACCTGACGTTACACCACCGCAACCACATCCTGCACCCATTTCCGACAGAGATCAGTTTGGCCAAAACTACACCACTACACCGCAACACCTGACTGTGGAATTACCCCACGTTTGACACACGCTGCAACAGACAATACCGGAACAACCCTGTCGCTTCCATTGTTTCCATGCCAGATCTAGTGCTGTCGGATCGACGTGTCATATATAATTCATCGAAGCTGACCAGAAAAGCGTTAATTTGATTCTGGCCCAGTTGCCAGTATTGACTGCTGTCATAGATGTTCACTTTATGCATCTAATGGATAGGCAAGTTAAGTCTTTTAGCGTTAATTTGACAGCGGTGCGTTTACATAAAGAGCCAGCTAAACCACTGAGGGCTGGCAATTTTTTTCCCGTAGCCCCATTTTGAGTGGAAAATACAAGTTCCATTTCACGCCTTAACCAGTATGTCGTAAAAGGCTCCTAATTAGGGGTGTTATATTCGAAATTCTTCTTCTTCTTCGCGTTCACCAGCTGTAAACTCCGGCGGAAAGTTCGGGTTGTTCGTCCACTTCTGGACTGCAGTCCTGTTCCAGAACCTGAGGGTTGCATGTGCATCCGTTTGACAGACTGTTGGTTCCTTGCCTCTCAGGCAGATGCACTCCGACTTCAAAGGAAGCTCCCAATTAGTCGACTCTTACGACATGCTTTTGGGTAGGCAGTGGGTCTATTCTTGTTTTTTCCCATAGTAGGGCCCCGAAACCCACACGGGGGGATTCGAAATTGTATAAGAGGTTTCAGTCTGGAATCCGGGGCCTGATGTTCAACTGGAGTTATGGTAGGATGAAAAGGCCAGCGCCCCTAAACAACATTTGCTGAATGACGACGAAATAAGCCATCGCAGACATCTCGTATAATGACGAACAGATATAGCAGCCGCACTAGACATCGCTATAAAACTACCATTTTAAAGGGGAATGCAGTGAAAGAAGACGATGATGACGAAGAAGAAGAAAAAGAAGACGAAAAAGAAGAAGAAGAAGAAGAAGAAGAAGAAGAAGAAGAAGAAGAAGAAGAAGAAGAAGAAGAAGAAGAAGAAGAAGAAGAAGAAGAAGAAGAAGAAGAAGAAGAAGAAGAAGAAGAAGAAGAAGAAGAAGAAGAAGAAGAAGAAGAAGAAGAAGAAGAAGAGAAGAAGAAGAAGAAGAAGAAGAAGAAGAAGAAGAAGAAGAAGAAGAAGAAGAAGAAGAAGAAGAAGAAGAAGAAGAAGAAGAAGAAGAAGAAGAAGAAGAAGAAGAAGAAGAAGAAGAAGAAGAAGACGAAGAAGAAGAAGAAAAAGAAAAAAGAAGAAGAAGAAGAAGAAGAAGACAAAGAAGAAGGAGGAGGAGGAAGGAGGAGGAAGAAGAAGAGGGAGGAGGATGAAGAAGAGGGAGGAGGAAGAAGAAGGAGGGGACGAAGGAGAATGAGGAAGAAAAAGAATGAGGAGAAAGGAGGAGGAGGAAGGAGGAGGAGGAGGAAGAAGAAGAATGAGGAGGAAGGAGGAGGAGGAGGAAGAACAAGAATGAGGAGGAAGAAATAAAAGGACAAAAGAGGAGGAGGAAGAAGAGGGAGGGGAGGAAGGAGGGGGAAGGAAGAAGAAGGATTAGCAGGACGAGAGAAATAAGGGAGAAAGAGGAGGAAGGACGAGAAGGAATAAGGAGGAAGAAAGAAGAGGAAAAAAAAGTAGGAAGAAGGGGGAAAAAGCAGGTGGAAGAAAGAAACGAAATGTAGGAGGTTTGCTGGCCCCTTGTAAATCCAATACTCTTGTCTGTGTCTAGTCCTTCTGTTTCCAATACTCTTGTCCATGTCTAACCCTTGTGTGTCCAATACTCTTGTCCATGTCTAACCCTTGTGTGTCCAATACTCTTGTCCATGTCTAACCCTTGTGTGTCCAATACTCTTGTCCATGTCTAGTCCTTGTGTGTCCAATACTCTTGTCCATGTCTAGTCCTTGTGTGTCCAATACACTTGTCCATGTCTAGTCCTTGTGTGTCCAATACTCTTGTCCATGTCTAACCCTTGTGTGTCCAATACTCTTGTCCATGTCTAGTCCTTGTGTGTCCAATACTCTTGTCCATGTCTAGTCCTTGTGTGTCCAATACACTTGTCCATGTCTAGTCCTTGTGTGTCCAATACTCTTGTCCATGTCTAGTCCTTGTGTGTCAATACTCTTGTCCATGTCTAACCCTTGTGTGTCCAATACTCTTGTCCATGTCTAGTCCTTGTGTGTCCAATACTCTTGTCCATGTCTAGTCCTTGTGTGTCCAATACACTTGTCCATGTCTAGTCCTTTTGTGTCCAATACTCTTGTCCATGTCTAGTCCTTGTGTGTCCAATACACTTGTCCATGTCTAGTCCTTGTGTGTCCAATACTCTTGTCCATGTCTAGTCCTTGTGTGTCCAATACTCTTGTCCATGTCTAGTCCTTGTGTGTCCAATACTCTTGTCCATGTCTAGTCCTTGTGTGTCCAATACTCTTGTCTATGTCTAGTCCTTGTGTATCCAATACACTTGTCCATGTCTAGTCCTTGTGTGTCCAATATCTTGTCCATGTCTAGTCCTTGTGTGTCCAA